CCGCATTTTGAATATCTTTCTCTATGCTGCCATTTAGCCTGTTCCTCTATTGCCATTTTTTCTTATGACTGGAATTCAGTTCTGATGGATTGGTTAGATCAAGTTTAATCTTTTATCATTCCTTTTGCATCTGTATATTGAGGCTATATAAGTTGCATGCCAAACTCAATGAGGCTAAAATTGATAAGCAAATTCAGATGATGTTTGTCTGAATTATTTTACTAAGGATTTAAAATTGCAATTTAAATATTTTCTTACTATTTTCACATTCAACAGATATGATTATTCTGTAAATAAGAACTTTTCTTCCTGAACTAGGATAGTTTGGTTATCTTGAAATATATAGTACTTATAGGAAAAACAGGGAGAATTTTCATTGTTCTCTATAATGACTAGTTATCAAAGTCAAGAGTTGGTGCCTGCCCTAGTTATCACTAAGTAGACCAATAAGATTATTATTATTATTGCTTCTGTTATTATTTAATGTATATGGACATGTGTACATGTAAATATATATGCAAATAATTATATATTTGTACATGTACATTAGGCAAGTATATATGTATGCACATATATACACACCTATGTGTGCTTTAATATTAATACATACATATATATATTTATTTATATATAATTTTGGCAAGACCCTATTTATATTTCAGGCTCATCTTACATGTTTCCTGTCCCAAAATAACAAGTGATCATTATTCCAAGAAACTGTGGTCCCTGTTATTATGGTATAATATTTAAAAGAGACTATTGTCTAGGTGGTAGAGTTGCTAGTTGTTATTGGTTGCCTGTTGCTTCTGGACCTTTTCAATGGAAACACCTTCTCTCTCTCCATTTAGTTTTTCACTCTGGCTCAATTTGATACCTAAATCCAGCAGTTTCCCTCAGGGTGAGTCTCTCTTCTTCTGAAAGTAGTATTTGATGAAGACTTCTGAGATAGACAAGGAGTCAGACCACCACTTAACCATGTGATGTCACAGCCTTTTATACTTATCTTCAACTCAGAGCTTGTATAGGGCTGTAAAAGTGTTCTGAATATCCTCAAACACAGTTCCCCAGGTTTTCACCAAGAAATAGTCCTCCTCTGCTTTTTGGAGATGAGCATTTGCTGACAAAATTTCCTATGGTCAACACTACGGTTTTTCCAGTAGTCATGTATAGATATGAGAATTGGATTGTAAAGAAGACCAAGTGGTGAAGAATTGATGCTTTTGCATTGTAGTACTGGAGAAGACTCTTGACAGCCCCTTGGATAGCAAGGGAATGGAACAAGTCAATCCTAAAGAAAATCAACCTTGAATATTCATTGGAAGAAATCATGTTGAAGCTGAAGCTCCAATACTTTGGCCACTTGATGTGAAGAACCAGCTCATTGGGAAAGACCCTGATGTTGGGAAAGACTGAGGGCAAGAGGAGAAGGGGGCAACAGAGGATGAGATGGTTGGATGGCATCACTGACTCAATGGACATAAGTTTGAGCACACTCTGGGAGATAGTAAAGGACAGGGGAGACTGGCATGCTGCAGTCTATGGGGTTGCAAAGAATCTGACATGACTTAGCAACAGAACAAAAACAACAACTTGTTGACCATTTTGCATTTCTGTGATTATACAGTAATCTCAATAGGCCTTCCCCTTCACCATCCATTGCTTCTCCTACACTGCTGTTTCTCTTACATTGGACGTGCCGTTGCCAGTAGTTTATCTACAGCCCCACATGCTTAAGAGTTTCTGAGCATCCCTGTCACCTACTTTTGTTGAAAATGTCATCCTTTAACATTGTTTTTCTTTTGTTATCCTGTTGAATCTGTTTCCACTCCAGGAAAAATTTGGAATCATTAAAAACCTTGTTACTAGCAAAGCCCCACTAGCAAACCCCATGTATACATTTATTAAAAATCTAGATCTAATTTAAAATAAAATCATTTTCTGTTATCCTTCAAAGCTTAAACTCTAGATAATCTTCACTCAGTGACTATGTTCCCAAGTTCTAGCATCAACTATTTCCTCCCTCAACTACTTTAATGAAATTTCTCTGACCAAAACGTCACAAGCTATTTGCCATATGCAGTAGACTCTCTTAAGAGCCTTTTGAGTGTGTGACTCTGCTGACTTCTCCCTTCTTACAACTACCACCTTTAACCCCTAATGTTCAATCTTATCCCCTCTGTTCTTTCCTGCTGGTGTTCAAGTGTATGATGTTCCTTCACTAGTTTCTGCTCTGATGCTCCTAACTGATCTGCACAAATGCTCATGAGGCAATCTCATGGACTCTCATCGCTTCTGTGGTGACCCAATCAATGCTCATGAGTCCTGCTGCCTATTTTTGAAACATCAGTGAAACATTCTTTAAAAAGTAATAATTAAGCTTGTGATTAAGAAAAGCAAATTTGCCATTTCAACTCTGAGAAATCTGTGCTTAATGATCTAGAGATAAACAAGGCTATTTTTTCTGTTTTCTCACCTGTTTTTTAAGGTTTTTTTTTCCTCCCAGGATTCATTTTAGAGAAAAATGGCCTCCTGAGATTATCACCACTTGATTCACATTATCTCAATGGAGAAATACATATTTGCTTCTTTCTGCTAAGCTCAGTTTCATCTTATACCCAGATCCATGCCACAATTCCTCCAAGACTGTTTCCTTTCTTACTTCAGTATTGTCATGAAAAAGTTCCTCTTCAATCATAAAAGACCTTTCCTAGGATATTCTGAACAAATATTTCATTGTGCTCTTATTAAAGGCACCATGAAAGTGAAAGTCGCTCAGTCACGTCCGACTCTTTGCGACCCCATGGACTATACAGTCCATGGGATTCTCCAGGGCAGAATACTGGAATGGATAGCCTTTCCCTTCTCCAGGGAATCTTCCCAACCCTGGGATCAAACCCAGGACTCCCTCATTGCAGGCTGACTCTTTACCAGCTGAGCCACAAGGGAAGCCCAAGAATACTGGAGCGGGTGGCCTATCCCTTCTCGAGCAGATCTTCCCAACCCAGGAATCGAACCAGGGTCTCCTGCACTGAAGGCATATTCTTTACCAACTGAGCTATCAGGGAAGCCTATTATTAAAAACACCATGGAACAGATAATAGAGGCTACTCATTTTATAATTAATTTTCTCTACATTTTTAAATAACCAAGCATATTTTTTTAACTGTGCTGATTATTCTTGCCCTTAACAGAGGCAACACATCATAACTAATAACACAAGAGATAAAGTAACAACTGATATGAAAAAGAACAGGTAAAGATAAACTATTTTCAAGTTCAGAGGGGGGAAAAATCAATTAATTATGACTTATGTTTGTCCTAAACCTTAAAAGACAGGTGAGCGTTGGCTATTTTAAGGATGTAAATGTGGAAGAGGAATTCAGATAAAGCATTGTCAAGGGCAGTAAGTGGGTGTTAGGTGACATTGTTCTAATTACTCCAGCACTTAAAAATTTGTTATCATGTCTCCCACACAAAACATCACGACAAATAAAATTGCTATTCACTGCATGGATCAATTTTACATTCTAAACCTATAAGAGCAAAAGTCATATATTTTACGTATGATTTCTAATACTGAGATGGTCATTTTATGCTTCTAAACTTCTGCATGGAGTGCTAATGCAATCACGTGTAAATGTATTGCTGATTTGTCTGACTGATGGGTCAATAGCAAGCCAACTGTAAAGATTCTACAAAAGGTCAATATCTTCTCAAAGTATAATTCCCATTAAAAGAGGCACAAAACTGAGATATTTATGAAAGTGGAGTAAACTGCTTTTGGGTTTCCTTCACTTGAGAATAATCCTGGAAGGCTGTGCCTATTTCTTTTTTTTTTTTTCCATTTATTTTTATTAGTTGAAGGCTAATTACTTTACAACATTGAAGTGGTTTTTGTCATACACTGAAATGAATTAGCCATGGATTTACATGTATTCCCCATCCCGGTCCCCCCTCCCACCTCCCTCTCCACCCCATCCCTCTGGGTCTTCCCAGTGCACCAGGCCTGAGCACTTGTCTCATGCATCCAACCTGGGCTGGTGATCTGTTTCACCCTAGATATACATGTTTCGATGCTGTTCTCTTGAAACATCCCACCCTCGCCTTCTCCCACAGAGTCCACAAGTCTGTTCTACACATCTGTGCCTATTTCTTTAACCTTTTTTTTTTTTTCATTTCCATGATTTTGTTTTATTTTGACTTATTGGTAAAAAAGATATAAAATGTAGACAGTCCTTAGTCATTAAATTGAGTGCTTATTTGCACAATATACATTTCAAAATCTCATTATTATACTCACTAATAATGATTATCACTATTATCTAATGATTAATATCATTATATTCACTTTATAATGTATATGCTATATTTTAAAACGTGTAAGACAGTCTTAAAAAAGGAGCTGTATTAAACCAATGGGCATAGAATATTACATTTTAAAATTCTTTATTGGAGGATAGTTGATTTACACTTTTGTGTTGGCTCCCACCATACAACACCATGAATTTGCCATAAGTGTACACATGTTCCCTCCCTCTTGAGTCTCCCCCCAACCCCCACCAAACCCACCCTTTTATGTCAATGTGGATAATTTCTCCACTACTGCTAGATGGGGAACAAGAGGTGTGTTCCAAGGACCACGTCCTGCTCCCTAAGACCTCTGCAGGGTAGAAAGCCCTGTGGTGACATAACGCACAACAATAGCAAGAGGAGATATTGTCAAAAAAGTAGGAATAATAGAGGGTCAAAGAAGTTTGGAATTTTACAGTAGGTGAAATTATTATTTCACTTGAAATATCCATATTTGCATTGTACTGTATTGGGCAAAGTTTTTCTTTTTCTTTTTTTTTTTATTTAAAACACCCTGAAGTTGCTAGAATATTTTGGGACAGATATACAGATTTCATTTTACTCGTGAGTTCCATGATTTCAGTAGAGTCATCCCATAGCACTAACGAAAGAAATCAGAAACAGAAATCTCAGTGCCGATGAGTTTTTACCTGATACAAAAAGTCTAGCGCTGTTACTTTGCCTGGTCTCCCCGGTGTATCTGTGCCGCGTGACACAGCGGTAGTTATACAATCCATCTTCATTCTGTACATCTTTAATATACAAGGCGCCCGTGGATGTGATGAGAAATCTAGATCCTAAAATAGAAGAAAATGATTACCCCATTAAAATAGAACAGAAGCAACCCAGTCATACAAAGTCACTGATTAGATTTTCTTCACCTGAAGGAAACTCATGTGAAGGCAAATAATAGATGTGTGTGTTTGTTTGCGTTTATGTGTGTGCTACTTTAAGGGTTCGGGCTATATTAAATCTTTACCCTAAATTAAGGGGTTTTAGTGAGTATACTTGGAGAAGGCGATGGCACCTCACTCCAGTACTCTTGCCTGGAAAATCCCATGGAGGGAGGAGCCTGGTAGGCTGCAGTCCATGGGGTCTCGGAAGAATGGAACACGACTGAGCGACTTCACTTTCACTTTCATGCTTTGGAGAAGGAAATGGCAACCCACTCCAGTGTTCTTGCCTGGAGAATCCCAGGAATGGGGGAGCCTGGTGGGCTGCCGTCTATGGGGTCGCACAGAGTCGGACACGACTGAAGAGACTTAGCAGCAGCAAGTGATTATCAGTTCAGTTCAGTTGCTCAAAAGCAGTGAGTATACTACACAATAAACACATACTTGTAAAGCTTAGTTTCATGAATTAATTTTTTAGGTCATGTATTTATTTAGGAGCAAGAAAATTGGCATGTAATTGGCATGCTGCTAATTTAGCAGATTTTCTTTGATCATCACTTTTCTCTCAGAATATGACAAAGGAGTATGAACTTTCATGAATTTCTACATCATGTAAGTATTTCAAGTGTTTCAATAAAAACATAAACATGTTAGACTAGAGAACAATGATATATTCCACAACCTTCCCAGGAAAGACTTCCTATTTCCTCAATAATAACCAACACTTACATTTATATTCTAGGATAAAGATCAATTCTTCCTATATTCAGTGTTTTAGACAGCTCTGCTATTTTCTGATTACTACTGAAATTACTGATGATAGCATTTTCACCTCAGGGAGAAAAAAGTGATACCCAACTCTTCCTCCTTCATATCAACACTGGACACAATGTGCTCTCTGTGACCTGTGGGTTTTGCCTCTATAACTCAATTTGAACAGAAATGGCCAGCATTAAGAGATCAAGAATCATTGTTGCTTGAAGGAAAATAAAGATGATTCTTTCCTTCGAAAATATCTAAAGATATTTAATGTCTCTATCTAATTAATATCTAATTAATGCTAAAAATATCTAAAGATATGTAAATATCTAAAGATAAGTTTTCACCGTTCAATGATAATTTTTGTGATACACCAAATAAAAGCAAAGGAGTATATTCCTAGGTGAGCTCCAGCACTTATATGTGGGAGACTCGACTCCTTCTGTACCACTGTTAGTCTTTCCTATGGAAAATTTCTGCATCTGATGTAATTCTTCTTGAAAGGTAATGTGATTTTGTTTCTTTGGGTAAAGACCAAAATGACAAAAATTCACATTTTTTTCAACTGTTTTCCTTTAGGTTCATTTGAAACTGCCTTTGGTTTATTTTAATCAGAATTTGCCAGGAATCCTGACTTCATTAATTTTAGGTCTCAAATATTTAAACTGTGAACACAATTCTCACATCCATCCCTTGGTTATTTCTTATAAGAGCAGTAAATTATTCATAGATCAACTGTCAGATAAAGTAAAAACAGCTTATTGCTTCTTATGCAATATGAAAGCAATTCAATGGACATGAATTTAAAAAAATCATAAAACAAATACTGATTCAGTGTAAGCTTTCTGGAAGAACACCAATTAACTAGTAAAGGATAAAATACCTTTAAGTAGTAAATTTATTTTTTTAACAATTGTATTAGTTACTTATTTTAAAATATGCTATAAATATGCTTAACATTAAAATAGCTGAAAAAGGGAATGATGTATATTCTAGATACTTTTGCTTTATCCTCCCCCTAAAAACAGCAACTAAAATTACCACTTGTCACTTGTCATCACATGCCAAACAGGTCGTACCAGTATATATGGTGTATAATTGAAACACTTTTTTTCCTGTCAATATATTTTGCATACTTACATAATACTTTAATAACCAGTTACTTTAAAGTACAGAGTGAAAGACAGAAACAAGGGACAAAAAGCTACTATATTAGCTCCTGTCACCCCTCTAAGACGGAGTCTTTCCAGTAGAATTGACAGGCCATCAGCAGTGGTGACATGTAAGGGGAGCTTCGCGTGCACGGCTCCTCTGGGTTTCAGAAGCAGCAGCCTGCGCTCATTACTCCGCTGATTCCTAAGAGGGCTCTACTCTCCACGTACATTTAATTTAATCACTCACTTTGCTCCTGGAATAGCTGACTCCTTTTTACCCACTTAGCATGCTAGATAGACTCTCTAAAGACATGGTGTTTCAGAGAATTGGGAACCTTGTTGGTGTGTAACATTTTCTGAGATATTCACAGGGAAGGAAGAAGGAGTCAGCTGAATTCCCATGCTAATTTGAACCATCTCTGTCGAACCCTTTATTTCTCATTGAAACCCATCACCAAACTGATCAATATTTTAAAACCTAAAATAAGGATGAAGAATAGAATAATCTGATTAGGAGAGGACCACAAAGATCCAGAGTCCTGGGGTTCAGTGTAAACTCCCAAGATGCGGGGAACTCTTTGGACAATGAGGCATAGCTAAGTCACTAGGACACCAGGTGCCTTGGTTTCATGATGACAAGGAATCTTCTCAACCACCCCCTTTCTTTTCAATGCACCCCGCTTTCTGCCTTACATCAGCAGAGGATTTTGTATCATATGGAAAAAATGGATTTGTTCACAGCCTTAAATGAGATGGAAGAATGTGCTTCTGTTGAAATAGGCAATTACTAAAACACAAAATATTAATAGCAATAAACTACACTCTCTCTCTTTCTCTCTTTCTCTCTCTCTCTCACACTCACACACACATACACACCCCTTTACTACCCAGAACTGTCTGATAACATACAACTGTGCAAAGCCACACTCTTGTAAGTAATTTTATTTTCCTTGGAAAATTATTAGCACTTTACACATAAAAACTGCTAAAATATAGTCCATACATCCTGTTTGTCATGTTAAACATACTGTAAAGCAGTCAACTGAACAATAGTGAATGATTTGGGGATTTAGGGTCATGATTGCAGTTGTAGATTATTGAGCCACAATGCTCAGTTATTAAAGGGATATTTCAGAAGCTATCTTTGCTTGTCAACAAGCACTGATTGGTCCAGGAGTTCAAGTCCCCAGTTCTGTCTTTAACAGTTCCTCTGTCTCTTGTCTCTGGGTTTCCCAGGTAGCACTAGTGGCAAACAGTCCCCCTCCAAGGCAGAAGACATAAAGGCGATGAGGGCTCAATCCCTGGATCAGGAAGATGCCCTGGAGAAGGGCACAGCAAGACACTCCATTATTCTTGCCTGGAGAATCCCCTGGACAGAGGAGCCTGGTGGGCTACAGTCCATAGGATCACAAAGAGTTGGACAAGACTGAAGCGACTTAGCATGCACAAACACACACGGTTCCCTCTTTACTATCAGGCTCTCAGCTGTCACCGCTCTCTGCTGACAGAATCCCTGTGGACACACTCAGGATGTGTGCTGAGAGGGAGAAACCAGACATACCGAAGCTCTTAGAACTTGCCTAAACCCAGAAGAAATGGGTTTCAGGTGAGTGCTGGCACAGGTCTCAAATGTTCATTCATTGGCATGAGCTGGTTGGTGTGTTAATGCCAGCGAAGAAAACTCACAGCTTAGTACCAGCCTTGCTATGCTCAGCACAAAGGCTAGTGGACTATATCTATCCAGAAATGTAAAACTGAGGCGGGAGGTAGATGGGGAGCCCCAGGATAAAGTGATAGGAGATTCATTTCCTGTGGACTGAAACCCCAAAATAAGAAAAGCAGTACAATTAGGACAGGCAGCTGGGCCCAGACCAGGCCACTTGTTTCTCAGAGTCAGGAGACCTCCATGACTACACGTGTGCAGAGACCCCTGGGGGGTCAAAGGGGAATGGTGCTAAGTGATGCTAACTACCCATAAGCCTCTTTGGTAGAATCCCTCTTGGCTGAGAGATGTGTGTGCACATGTAGGAGGGCTCCGAGATGCACCAAATATGGACCGTGAACCAGGCAAACCAAAATGACTGATCAGAGGAAACCCGGAAGAAATGCCCCATAGAAGTAATACAAACTGCACGGGGGTGCGACTCAGGGACTCTCTTTTTCTGGGTCAGCCCATCTGTCTATCCACATATACTGTACTCTGTTTCCTCCTAATAAATACTTTACTTGTTTCACTACTTTTCATCTTTGTGGGAATACTTCTTCTGCAAAGCCAAAGCGTGAGTGCCTGGTCACTGACCACTGGTCCAGTGGCTTGGATTGGTGATCTCTCAGGTGCCAGGACCTGAACTCAATCTCTCTGGCCCTCTGACACTCCAATATTCTTGCCTGGAGAACCCCATGGACAGAGGAGTCTGGCAGGCTACAGTCCACGGGGTCACAAAGAGTTGGATGCACGCACCCTTTATTAATTTGTTGCTCAATCTACTCAGCTAATTTTTTTTTCCTGTTGTTGTAAAGTATCAAATTAAAAGGTCTTTCTCTGGTACCAACAGTAACAAGCTCAAACACCTGAAGAGATTCCTCAATGTGGAGGAAAAAAATTTCTGAGTTTGGGAATCCAATGGATCTGAATTCTAAATCTGTCAATATCACTTTGTGTGACCTTTGATAATACAGTCTGCTTTTTAAGCTTTGGATAGTTCATCTATGAAACAGATGGTGAATCACTCTTTGTTCTACTGTTGAAGATAAGGTTAACACAGATTCCAGCCAAAGACAGCCATGCACTAAAATGATAGCTACAGAAGAGACAGTGGGAAGAATTGAGAGCAGCACTGACAGTGTTAGTCATTCAGTCATGTCCGACTCTTTGAAACCCCATGGACTGTAGCCCACCAGGCTCCTCGGTCCATGGGATTCCCCAGGCAAGAGTACTGGAGCGGGTAGCCATTTCCTTTTCAGGAGGATCTTCCCGACCCAGGGATTGAA